CCCGGTGTTATACTCCCCCAAGATAGATCTTTTTCCCTTGAGTGAGGTTTGTAGTCTCTAGCCCCCTAGACTGTACTCCGTCTGCGGTCTTCTTTGCCTTCCCAATCTTCATGACTTTGCACTTGGTGGGATTGAACTCCAGGAGCCAATTGCTGGACCAGGTCTGCAGCCTGTCCAGATCCCTTTGTAGTTCTGCCTGGTCTTCGATCGAATGAATTCTTCTCATCAACTTCACGTCATCTGCAAACAGTGACACCTCAGAGTTTATTCCTTCTGTCATGTCGTTCACAAATACCAGAAACAGCACTGGTCCTAGGACTGACCCCTGTGGGACCCCGCTGGTCACAGGTGCCCACTCTGACACCTCGCCACGTACCATGACTCGCTGCTGTCTTCCTGACAAATATTCCCTGATCCATTGTAGTGCCTTCCCTGTTATCCCTGCTGTACTCACCTAGTTGAGTACAGCAGGGATAACAGGGAAGGCACTACAATGGATCAGGGAATATTTGTCAGGAAGACAGCAGCGAGTCATGGTACGTGGCGTGTGTACTCACCTATTTGTGGCTGCAGGGGTCGAGTCTTAGCTCCTGGCCCCGCCTCTTCACCGGCGTGTGTGTGTGTGTGTGTGTGTGTGTGTGTGTGTGTGTACTCACCTATTTGTGGTTGCAGGGGTCGATTCACAGCTCCTGGCCCCGCCTCTTCACTGATTGCTACTAGGTCCTCTCTCTCCCTGCCCCATGAGCTCTATCATACCTCGCCTTAAAACTATGTATGGTTCCTGCCTCCACTACATCACTTTCTAGGCTATTCCATGGCCTGACTACTCTATGACTGAAGAAATACTTCCTAACATCCCTTTGATTCATCTGAGTCTTCAACTTCCAATTGTGACCTCTTGTGTCTGTGTCCCATCTCTGGAACATCCCGTCTTTGTCCACCTCGTCTATTCCGCGCAGTATTTTATATGTCGTTATCATGTCTCCCCCTGACCCTCCTGTCCTCCAGTGTCGTTAGGCCGATTTCCCTCAACCTTTCTTCATAGGACAATCCCCGTAGCTCTGGGACTAGTCTTGTTGCAAACCTTTGCACTTTCTCTAATTTCTTGACGTGCTTGACTAGGTGTGGATTCCAAACTGGTGCTGCATACTCCAGTATGGGCCTGACGTAGATGGTATACAGAGTCTTAAACGAATCCTTACTGAGGTATCGAACGCTATCCGTAGGTTGCCAGGCGCCCGTTATGCTGCAGCAGTTATCTGATTGATGTGCGCCTCAGGAGATATGCTCGGTGTTATACTCACCCCCAGATCTTTTTCCTTGAGTGAGGTTTGCAGTCTTTGGCCATCTAAACTATATTGTGTCTGCGGTCTTCTTTGTCTTCCCCAATCTTTATGACTTTGCATTTGGCAGGGTTAAATTCAAGGAGCCAGTTGCTGGACCAGGCTTGTAGCCTGTCCAGGTCTCTTTGTAGTCCTGCCTGATCCTCGTCCGATTTGATTCTTCTCATTAACTTCACATCATCTGCAAACAAGGACACTTCTGAGTCTATCCCTTCCGTTATGTCGTTCACATATACCAAGAACAGCACAGGTCCTAGGACTGACCCCTGTGGAACCCCGCTTGTCACAGGCGCCCACTCTGACACCTCGTCGCGTACCATGACTCGTTGTTGCCTCCCTGTCAGATATTCTCTGATCCATTGCAGTGCCTTTCCTGTTATGTGTGCCTTGTCCTCTAGCTTTTGCAGTAACCTCTTGTGAGGAACTGTGTCGAAGGCCTTCTTGCAGTCCAAAAATATGCAGTCGATCCACCCCTCTCTCTCTTGTCTTACTTTCTGTCACCTTGTCATAAAACTCTAGTAGGTTTGTGACACAGGATTTTCCTTCCCTGAAACCGTGCTGGTTGTCAATTATACACTTGTTTCTTTCCAGGTGTCCCACCACTCTCCTCTGATGATCTTCTCCATGACCTTGCATACTATACACGTTAGTGATACAGGTCTGTAGTTTAGTGCCTCATGTCTGTCTCCCTTTTAAAAATTGGGACTACATTTGCCATTTTCCATACCTCATGGAGTTGCCCAGTTTCAAATGATGTGTTGAAGATCTTTGCTAATGGCTCACACAATATCTCTGCTCCCTCTTTAAAGACCCATGGAGAGATGTTGTCTGGTCCCACCGCCTTTGAGGTGTTGTGTGTGTGTGTGTGTGTGTGTGTGTGTGTGTGTTTTGTGTTGTGTGTGTGTGTGTGAGTGTGAGTGTGTGAGAGTGAGTGTGAGTGTGTAGTGTGTGAGTGTGAGTGTGTGAGTGTGAGTGTGTGAGTGTGAGTGTGTGAGTGTGTGGAGTGTGAGTGTGTGTGAGTGTGAGTGTGTGAGTGTGTGAGTGTGTGTAGTGTGAGTGTGAGTGTGAGTGTGAGTGATGTGTGTGTGTGTGTGTGTGTGTGTGGTGTGTGTGTGTGTGTGTGGTGTGTGTGTGTGTGTGTGTGTTAGAGAGGGCAGGCCAGTGTTTATATACCGGAGGATGGAGCCCACAGTCAGCCCTAGGGGGGTGCGCTGAACCTCACCCGGATGCTCGGGTCACATACTGGGGTCACCAAGTCCCCTAGGCTTCACCGGGGAAGGGGGAACGATCGGGGCGGGGGAGAAGGGAAGGGTTATAGAATGCAGGGATACCTTCTTGGGATCATTCAAACTCGATGAATACAGGGATACCTTCTTGGGATTATTGAGACACAAGGAATACAGGGATACCTTTCTGGGATCATTGAGACACAAGGAATACAGGGATACCTTTCTGGGATAATTGAGAAGGAATACAGGGATACCTTCCTGGGATCATTGAGACACAAGGAATACAGGGATACCTTCCTGGGATCATTGAGACACAAGGAATACAGGGATACCTTTCTGGGATAATTGAGACAAGGAATACAGGGATACCTTCCTGGGATCATTGAGAAACAAGGATATCTTCCTGGTATCATTGAGACACGAGGGATACTTTTCTGGGATCATACACAAGGAATACAGGGATACCTTCCTGGGATCATTGAGACAAGGAAAACAGGGATACCTTCCTGGGATCATTGAGACACAAGGAATATAAGGATACTTTTTTGGGATCAGACAAAAGGAAAACAGGGATACCTTCCTGGGATCATTGAGACAAGGAATACAGGGATTCCTTCCTGGGATCATTGAGACACAAGGAATAAAGGGATACCTTCCTGGTATCATTGAGACACAAGGGGTACTTTTCTGGGATCATACACAAGGATTACAGGGATACCTTCCTGGGATCATTGAGACAAGGAATACAGGGATACCTTTCTGTATTCCAAAACCCCAGGTACCTGTCTAACTCCCAGGTACCTATTTACTGCTAGGTGAACAGTGTCAGCTGGTGTTAGGTGACTTTTAAGGCGAAATAGGAAGCGGGAAAGGGAGAAAGGATGGGAGAAAGAGGAGAACGAGAAAAGAGGGAGGGGGAGGAGGAGGAAGAGAAAAGAGGCAGGGGAGAAAGAGGAAAGAGGGAAAGGAAGAAAGAGGAAAGAGGGGGGGGAGAAAGAAAGAGGGGGAGGATTATGTACAATGTGAGAAGTAAATTATTATTGCTATGGAAAGCGCTGCACCCACAAGGGTCTTACATCACCTGGGAAATGAGAATCACTCAGGACATTGATTCGAGGAAAGGGAGGGGAAACCCAGTTCTTGTGAATCAAATATGTAAAGTGTGTATACCTGTGTATATACACACTGAAAAGTGTGTGTATACCTCAGTGTATATATATATATATATATATATTATATATATATATATATATTATATATATATATATATATATATATATATTATATATATATACGCCAAGAGGATTACTGTATATTTCTTTTTTGTGTATTATTAGTAGATTATTCATATTTACTTTGTTTTTAAATCAATACTAGTATATACGGATATTCTTTATTAGTAAAAGGCGAAAATAATAAAGAAAAGTTGAATAATTGAGTTTTGTGAACGAGCTGACCCTTTGTTGACAGTGGTGACGTCACAGTGGCGAGGCCGCCTACACGAACGGCTTGACAGCGTTCGTGGGCGAGGAATCCAGTTATCCCAGCTAGATGACTGTAGGTCAGTCTGTGTGTGAACTGATATGTTTGTGGTTGCAGGGGTCGAGACATAGCTCCTGGCCCCGCCTCTTCATTGATCATTTTTGTTATTTCATAATCTCAATGTAATCTTCCAAGGAAATAAAAAATAAAATAGATCGCTACTAGGTCTTCTCCGTGCTCCAGCAGCTTTATCATACCTGTGTACTCACCTAGTTGTGGTTGCAGGGGTCAATTCATAGCTCCTGGCCCCGCCTCTTCACTGGTCGCTACTGGATCACTCCCTGCTCCATGAGCTTTATCATACCTCTGCTTAAAGTTATGAATGGATCCTGCCTCCACTACATCGCTTCCCAAACTATTCCACTTCCTGACTACTCTGTGACTGAAGAAATACTTCCTAACATCCCTATGATTCATCTGTGTCTTCAACTTCCAACTGTGCCCCCTTGTTGCTGTGTCCCATCTCTGGAACATTCTGTCTCTGTCCACCTTGTCAATTCCTCTCAGTATTTTATATGTCGTTATCATGTCCCTCCTGTCCTCCAGTGTCGTCACTGGAGTGTCTCTCTCTCTCTCTCTCTCTCACACACACACACACACAGCCTTGACGTGTTCATATTTGTCTTCTCATAACACATTCATCATTGCTTTGAAATTGCACATTATTATTATTATTTAAGGACGACCTGTATAATTCGCAAGAGCTGTTATAATCCTTAAGGATTATACAGCAAGCAATCAGGTTTGATTCAAAGAAGAGAAGGGAACTCTGTTGTGTCTTGAATCATGAGCCCTTTAGCGTCAGGGCAAAACTTCCCCCTGAAGGGCATATTGCTTATAGTGTGAATGTGTTTTGTCTGTTTCTCACTTGTTTGGTATCCCGCAGGTGGCACTGACGAGGTTGGACCACGCGCCGCAGAAAGGCAAGGCTTTCATCGGTCGTAGCGGTGCCCTCGGTCACCGGCGACCTCCCTCCAGAGGCTCCCGTGGCTCCAGGAGATCATCTGCAGACAGCCTCCACCAGGACTCCGAGGCTGACCTGGTTATTCCGAGGGAGGTTGACATCGAGGTGCAGCTTGAGAGTGACGGTCACAAGGAACGTCAACCAGAGAGGCACTTCACTTGCGAGGACATAGCAAGGGACTTCAAGGTATATAGCCAAAGCTTCAGGGAGGCGCTTACAGATACATTAAATGCAAAACAGTTGCAACAGACCAATGAGGTGGTTAAGAAGAAGCAGGGAGATCTAGATCGTCAAGCAGGAGATACGGAGGAAACTCTTTGAGAATCGCTACAGGAGATCTGGTATTTCCGTAGGGGGATCAAATCCACTGTTGAACAACTTCTCATCTGAGGCTGAAGAGTCCTTTAGAAGGATCAAGGAGGAAGTTGCTCGTTTAGCAGCCAAGAGGAGGTCATCTAGTGATATCAGTGACTCTAGAGCTTCCAGTGACTATTCTTTTTCCTTCAACTCAGTACAAGAGGATCATAAGGAGAATGTAAAATGGTGTAGTGAGGAAAGAGAGTCAGCCTTTGATTCAGCAAGTGTCGCTTTAGAGAAGAATGTGGAGACCAGGTCATCCTCTGAGGCTGATGTAGTGATCAGTGACCGTGAGAGCATCGCAGACTCTGGTCTGGTAAACAGACGGACTGTCATCACTATCAGTGGGAAGAAGAAAAAGAGCAAGTCTGCCTCTAGTCTAACCCAAGAAGAACCGACACCGCTCTGGATCAGAGATCTACAGACTAGGCGATCCCTCAGAGGGAAGGATCCAGCCCCTTCCAGGCTAATTCCTATTCAGATTGAGCCAGAGTTTGAGGAGGAATAAATGTATCCATTGTGAGTCAGGCAGAACCCAACCGCAAGGACAGCACCTCGCGTATGTACGTTCGTCAGAGTGACTCAGAAAATAGACCTTCGAGGGCAAGTGCTTTTAACGTCAGGCAAACTATAGAGAAGCGACAAATTCAGCAAGAGAGACGAGAGAGGAGAGCTCTTAGAGAAAAGATCAGAGAGCAGCTGAGGAGTCTTTCTGAAAGTCGCGAGCGACGAGATTCCTCTGGTTCTTATGTATCCTCCGTTCACCTCAGTCAAAATTCGGTGCGATCAAAGTCTATGAGTTCTCTGGATCAAGACCAGGACGACTTTAGAAGTGAATCTCCCCTATTCAAGGTCCAGTCTAGCCCAACGCTAGAGAAGGAAAAAGAGGAAGTTAGAATTTATCTGTTTGGAGCATCCAACCTTACTGAGAGTGGAGATTGTTACCCTGATGTGCCCCCGGCCTCCAGGGACAAGACTCGACTAATCAGCACAGACACTACAGAAAGCAGCAGTCACCAAGAAGCTCGGGAGAAACACAAGATTTGCTATATTGAACGACCAGAAACTTGGCAGTGGACACAGTCTTGGGACTCGCTCAAGGCAGGCCAAGAGGACATTGATGAGAATTGTCAGAAAGTTAGTGAGTCCATTAATTCGGTTAAGAAACCATCTGATCTCAGTAGTCAACGCTCGTCAATTCAGTCAAGTGTCTTTGATCAAGGCTCGCCGAAGACGTCTTGGCAGGAGTATAATCTTCACCACACTGATCAAGGGATCAGCTGCATCTCCCCATTGCTTAACAATCATCCAAACAGTCTCGAGAGTACAAAGTCCTGTCCTCCTGCTCTGTTGACACTTGGTCAAGCAGGAACCACCAAGGACGACTCCTTACAACCTGCCGGTGAGGATCTCTCCTGCACACCACCAGTCCCGCCTCCTCGGAGGAACAGGTTAAGTTTGTCAGCTGGACAAATCACACTGGAGGAGGAGGAGGACAAGCCCAACTGGATCCGACTGGCAAAGGAGCGACGGAGTCTACGGACAGCTCAACAAGTGGACCAGCTGTCTGATAGAGCCTCAACTGCCAGTAAGGAGCCAGAGTGGGTCATCAGGGCTCGGAAGAAGCTAGAGTCACTTAATGTGACACTCACGAGCACAACTGACTTTAATTGTGCCAGTTCTTGCGTCACAGAATCTTCATCAGCGTGGAGTCGAGGTGGTCTAGATGCTCTAGATGATCTGAAGGAAGAAACATCACGTATTGGGGAAGAATTAGCTGAAGAGGCAACTGCCAGGGTGAATGAGGACTTGGCACTTCACAAAGACATCAGCAGAATGTTGGAGCACAATACAGATCGCTCGGAACGCTCTCGTGAGCCCTCTGCTGAGCGGCTTCGGGTGTCCTTTGAGACCTCTGCAGCTGAAAACTCTGATGGTGATTCCAGTAGACGGTTACGCACTCGAAAACCTCAGCTGGATGAAGTTCGTTTTGGTGACCTGAAACATGACTGGGGTGGTGCTCAAACTAAGGCTTTAAAAACCAGCAATGGTAAACAAAAGGAAATGCGCTTTGGTGAGATTCAGGTGAAGGAGACTCTTCCTGAGCCTTCTGAGAAGACAAAAGAAATGAGATTTGGTGACATCATGACATCGCCACAGAAAGCTCAAATTAACTCAGGTTCGACAAATGGCAGTCGCCCTGTGATGCGCTTTGGGGACACGCCGCTCGACCTCTTCTCATCCTCAGAGCCCAAAGGTCCAAAGAGCAGTTCGAAGTTTGAGTCAGTAGCTGGTCCAGACCCAACTAAGATGACTGCAGAACAACTGAATCAAAATGTTGAGGAATACGACTTCCCAATACCAACAGGAAAAGAAGATGTCTCTGAGCTAATGAAGTTCCTTGAAGATAGCTTGAAGAAAGCAGAAGTTGTCCCAGAAGTCGTCAGCATGGAGGACAACCGGCCCAAGCCCAAGAGCATCCTGAAGAGGCGCTCCGTGGAGAACGTCCTACATGAGCTGAAGAGGGAGGAGAGGAGAGAGGGGCTCCAAAAGGTAGAGCACCGGAAGAGCGCGTCCTTTGACTGGGACTCCGTAGGTAAGGGAGCTGATGCAGGCTTGGACATTGGTCACATCAGAAATACCGGACACAGACTGAGCAGGGAACACAAGCCACATCCAGATACCCCCCACACAGCCAAACCACAGCCACAACACCCTCACCACCAACACACCTCACAAACCACTACAGCTACTACCGCCACTAATGGCAGCAGCTTTTTTAATGTCAAATTACGGCATGTATCCTCTAACAAACGTGAGCCGGCAGTAACTAACGAAATGCTTCGCTTCCACTCAGAACACTCCTTACACAGACGGCCGCAAGGTGTATATTTCAACACAGATAGACACAGTGGGGATTTCACTTCCCTCAACACCTTTACCAGCACTCATGAGATCCGCCTGCAACCCAGGAGGATTTCTACGGGGGGTGACAGCCATGGGTCATCCTCGGCCTCAAGTCAGGAGTCTCTGTCAGACTCTGGGGCAAACCTGGGTAGCAATGAGACTGACCGAGCCGTCAGTGAGGTCCTGAACAACTTAGATCAGTGTTATGAGGAGAGCAAGACTGTGCCGAGGAAGCCCAAAATGGCACAACCTTTAAAAGATGACAAAGTAGGTGACAATTTTACCAGCAAGCTCAACATGAACAGAAATAACGAGAATCGGAAAGAATTAGTTTCCAGACCGACAGCAGTCACTCTTACAGCTTCCAGCAGCAGGAAAGCAGCGACGGTGGGCAGCAAGGGTGTGAGAGAGCTGTTACAGAGGGTGCAGGATCCCACATCATCTGCCTGGGGAACCTGCCGGAGTGGACGTAGCTTGGCTACCTCAGGTAAGATCCTTCCTCCACAACCACTAGTGACATTACTCTGATTATTATTATATTCATGAATCATACAGTGTCAGAATAGGAGGGTGGGGCACAGTCAGGTTGATCTCAGCCCCAGTTCTTTGGGTCAAGAGCTGTATAGTCCTTGTGGCTTAGCGCTTCTTTTTGAATATAATTAATAATAATTGTGGGTCAGAACGTTCATCTTAGTATCAGTGTACTTCGTTAAGTGTGTGTGTGTGTGTGTGTGTGTTTGAGAGAGAGATTGTGTGTGTGTGAGAGAGAGAGTGAGTGTGTGAGAGAGAGAGTGAGTGTGTACACTGTGAGCATAAGAAGCATGACAGGTTATCATCAATGCATTCATTAAGAGGTGTTGAGTTAGGAGCATGACAACCTCTGGACCGTAGACTTGTTGCTTCTCCATGTATTTCCTCAGTAGTTTGTGTCTTGGTATTGTTTAACAACACTGTAGAAACTTGCTAATCCATTTCCAAAATGACTTTCATCATTGACATCACTAATCAGTCTAGTATAATGATCTACAGTACCTAATTACAACGTATCTTTGGCTGATCAGACTCATTGTTACTGACTTTTCTGTAGTGTTTTTTCATGTGTACTTGAAAAGCTGTAATTAAAATGCTTACTGTATTTATTGATACATAATACAAATATGTATGTTCTCTCTCTAGCAGGTGTTTAATTGTATAGTTCTATATTATCTTCTTAGGGAAGTGCTCAAACCAATGGCAGATAATGAGGTTTGACCTAAGGAAGGGTTAACACCATGTGCAGAGAGAGTGTATGCATTTGTGTCTGTATCTTTGTAGTGTAGAGGGGTTGTAGGAAGTGGGGTATGAGAGGTGGAGCCAGGTGAGTGTTGGCTAACCATAGTGCCCTACCCTTGTGTGTTGCAGCCCTGGTCCGCACCTCCATGCTAACTCGCCTCACTAACCACCGCCCCAGCCCAGCCTGGCTTCACTAGCAACGCCAACACCCCCTCCTGCTGCTGCTGCTGCTGCTCACGACGGAGATGAACTGTGTTGCTGCTCACGGAGGACAGATCATGTGCTGTAGCCTCGCTTGCATTTGGGTACCCTCTGCCAGCGGACGGGGAGCAGGGATAATAAAGTGGCTTCTTGCTCCTTGTAGTTACCCCTGATACATTGGAGTACGCTAAGCATGTGGTAACACTAGAAGGTAGCTTCACTGCCAGTCGCAATGATCGTGATACCAAGAAATAAATCAAGGTCATAAAAAGTATTCAGAAAGACTGAGTACCTTGTGATATAGTTAGCAGAACTAGGCCCACTTAGCAAGCGAGTGTTAACCAGTGGTCTTATCAGTTGCTCTGTTTTCCACCTGCATACCTGTGTCTTGCCAAAACCTCGATTGTGTTAGAGAAATGCAAAATACAAGTCTTATGCTCGAATAATACATTTGTGATATGACTGTGCCTTTAGAAATCTTTTTTTATGTAGAGAAAAAAGTGTACATATATTCTGTGTATTTAAAATGACTTAGCAAACAAACATTAGACTTAATACGGAAAGTGTGGTTTATAGTGTAGTGCAACTCTCACTCTGGTACAAAAAAAGACAGTGTACCTTTGATGAGGAGCTGTTATCTACAGTAAAGACATTAGAAGCAAGCCTTGTGTCTCGTGCAGAATACACAGTGAGGTATGACAACCTTGACCTGGAACTAAATCCAGGAGCAGCAGGTTTATAAGGATATCAGCAGACTGATGGTGGCCCTCTAGTGTGTAGACAATTCATGTTTGTGTGTATTCAGCTAGTTGTGTTTGGAGGTGTGTTTGTGTGTGTATATTTATAAGCACATTAAAACTAACTTGTATGTAAGAAGGAGAAACATGTGTAAGTTAAACGTTGTCGAATGTGTTAATTACAGAGCCAACAGATGACAGTGTTTCCCTCGATGGCCCTCTTCTTCCTCCTGTTACTACTGCTATTGTTGCTACTGTTACTGTTGGTGGTGGTGATGCAGTCTTCACTCGTGCAGAAGAGGGTGATGGTGCCTCTAAAGCCTGGCATTCAGCATCTCCCCAGTATTCCAGCAGCACGACAGTCACCCTTCACCACTATGACCAACATTCCAGCCCCCACAACAACATCCTGTCCCCACAACCTCTCCAAGATTCCATCACTGCCACTTCCTCCACATGTAACATCTCCAACCCCAGTTGTGAAACCACCTCAAAGAGCTTCTCCATAACCCTGACTCCAATTGCCATTAGCAACACTGCCTTCGTAGGCATTAATAAGAGTGCCAGTGAAGAACAGAGCAAGCTGGAAAGAGACTTACCGATGTGCATCAACTTGGGCAGGGAACCACGCATATCAACACTAAGCATTGAAAGAGAACTGGTGGCAGAGGAAGGAAAGAGAGGAAGAAGAGAAGAGGAGCTGGAAAGTCTTCACTGCAATACCAGACTTGACTCCAATATCTACCCAGGACCCACAAAACAGTCCACCACACTCACCACACACCCAGCTTACCTTGCTTCTTACCTACTCACCCCAGTAGTGGTACAGCCACTCACCATGGCAGGTACGTGATGTACAGTGGTGCCATGAGCTCGCCCACTGGAGTTACAGAAGTGTACCCTCACGGGAAGGTAAAGTATGGCAGTGGTAGAGTTCTCACTAAAGGAAATCATCTGCCACTTCAGGCTGGACTTCAAGAGGTCCCAAAACCAGTTATGTAAATCAGGTACAGTGAACAACAGCATGTTGGTCAAGTACCATGGGTCAGCCAGGTACAGTATCAGAACAATCATTACCACAAGTGAACAACATGTACTGGTACAGTAATTAGCACCACAGGTAAGCCAGGTACAGTGCAGGTACAATCATCATCACAGGTAAGCCAGGTACAGTGCTGGTACAATCATCACAGGTAAGCCAGGTACAGTAATTGTACAGTCATCACAAGTAAGCCAGGTACAGTGCTGGTACAATCATCACAGGTAAGCCAAGTACAATGCTGGTACAGTCATCACAGATAAAAACAGTAAGGTAATATAAGTTCCATTTTAAAAGTACATTTCTTTCAACACACCGGCTGTATCCCACCGAGGCAGGGTGTCCCAAAAGGAAAAACTAAAGTTTCTCCTTTTACATTTAGTAATATATACAGGAGAAGAGGTTACTAGCCCCTTGCTCCCGGCATTGTAGTCGCCTCTTACAACACACATGGCTTACGGAGGAAAAATTCTGTTCCACTTCCCCATGGAGATAAGAGGAAATAAACAAGTATAAGAACTAGAAAGAAAATAGAAGAAAACCCAGAGGGGTGTGTATATATGTGCTTGTACATGTATGTGTAGTGTGACCTAAGTGTAAGTAGAAGTAGCAAGACATACATGAAATCTTGCATGTTCATGAGACAGAAAAGAGGACACCAGCAATCCTACCATCATGTAAAACAATTACAGGCTTTCGTTTTACACTCACTTGGCAGGACGGTAGTACCTCCCTGGGTGGCTGCTGTCTACCAACCTACTACCTAAAGTACATATGACCATCAAATAATGCACGAACAAGCAACACATTTTTTCTCACAACACAAATTCAATAGCAAGAAGTAGTTTATGAAGGCTAGGAACTTGTACTGTCACTAACTACACAATCCCCTTCCTTTACGACAGTCATTTACTTTAGGTGCATTTATGCAACTGTTGAATATGTTGGTGATTGATAACGAATTGTGAAAAAATTGAACATGAAAGTGAATGGATGATGTTGCAGCAACACCATGATAAACATTTGTTTGAAGTAAATGGAGGCAACACAGTACGTATATGATGCACTACAGTATACAACTCGCCACAGTATACGATGCAGCACAGTACAGCCTCTCCTCACTTAACGACGGAGTCCCATTCCTAAGGCCATGTCAGTAAACGAATTCGTCACTAAGCAAGGAACATACTATAATGGTAGTAGGTTTGTGTCAACCATATTTGATATTGTTTTATTGTCACCTTTGCACCATTTATAATATTTTTAGTATATTTTTAAATGTTTATGCAGTAGTGTACTGTATATTGTAATAAACAGGATAGAGGAAATCAGCTCTAATATACATTATTAAGCTATGCATACTGGTCAGAAAGCCCGTCATAAGTCCAAGTCGTTGGTAAACAAGTACGTCGCTAAGTGAGGAGAGGCTGTATATGATGTATCATTCCTACACACCACTGGGAAGAACCACATTCATAAGTTGTAGGCGGGTTTCACACAGCCCAGGGGAATGGGATGGAACTAAGTTTAATCCAGGGAAGGGGAACTCAGGTCCAATTCCCAGGATCAAGAGCCCCCCTCCTCATAAACATAAGGAACCTTCCCTGAGGAAACAACCACTGGCAGAAGGGCTCATGGAGTCATAGCCCATAATACTCACAACAATGACAACAGTTATTTCCCCACACCATTTTTATCATTTTACAATAATGCTGCTTTTTTTCTTTATCAAATGCATTCATCTTTTGTATATGTATGTTTGTGTATAGGTGAGTTCTTATATGTTTATTAAAATTTGGTAATGAAATGTGGCTTAAAATTTCAGGTGATTGTAGTTATAGGTGATCGTATTAGCTGATGCTCCCTACCACGTTTCTATTGTTAGAGGTACTCCTCACTTAACGACCGAGTTCCTTTCCTAAGAGTAGGTCGGTAAACGAATTGGTTAAGTGAGGAGCCGCCCCTTACTGATATTTCAAGCATCCTGTACTGTAGTGGGTTTGTCTCAACCATCTTTAGATATTGTTTTAATGTCATCTTTGCACCATTTATAACATTTTTAGTATATTAAAAGTAGAACTAGGCATTAAAAACAACAAAAAGTAAATATGTAGTCTTGGAGATTGCGAATGCTAGTGTAGTGAGCTGACTGACTGTGGTAGTGAGACTGAGATTGATGCTTGATGCTGAGATGTGCTGCCATTTCCATGACTAAACTACTCATATAGCATACAATACCAATTGGTCAGAGAGCTGGTAATCAGTTTGAGCGGTCATTAAACGGGCATGTCATTTAGTGAGGAGTACCTGCATTATGCATTGCAACATAAACTCTTGTCATATATTTCCTGATCATCAAGAGACAACCAATTCAATGTAAGGAATGGAAAACTAAATTATTTTTGATAAATTACAGAACTTAGATGAGCTTCTTTGGCTTTTCCGTAGGTATCAGGAATGTAACCCAATTTTTCCCATATGTTTTTCAGTTCGCCTTATTGGATATTCAGTAGCACTGTTCTCAAGAATGTAACTATAGTGTGTTATTTGATGGTCAACAGTAGCTCAGAACATAACTTTATTTTTTCCATATGTTCTTCAGTTTGCTTGACACAATTTTCAGTAGCACAGCTTGTTATTCATCTCAACTCTGGTTCATACAAGTCATGTTTCATTATATTCATGAGAATATTAGATAATCAGGTTTGATCTATGGAAAAAAAAAACAGTAGTTTTATTTTAAATTATGATGCAAAGCAATTATTATGATGTTTATGTAACCACTGTCACTGTTGATGGTAAGAAGAAACATTAATAATATTGTATTAATACAGCAATAGGAAAAATAATACAGTAATTTTAATAACACTGATAATACTACTATTAAGAATAATAAGTATTAATATTAAGACATATTTCAGGAAAAAATTCTGTAAGTACAAATTTTATCATTTTTTAAAAGTACAAAAAATTTAAATACTATAAGTACAAAATCAGAAATAAGTATTCTCTATACATAGTTTTTTGAACATAAAACTTGATAAACAATGTTTATAATATCAGTAATCAACCTACATTCTTTTTTAAGGTTGCAAATAATTGTTAATGATTTTAAATTATTATTTTATAGTGAGATATGGCTTGGGTCATTTTGTATGGACCATAACCTGCATGATGGGAAATAAATTAGTGAATCCAGCTGTATATATTTTTTTTTTTTGGCTTCAGAAGAGGAGCAGCAGTACACCAACAGCTCCGTCACTACTACTGTTACAGCAGCGGCAGCCTCCCCCTCCTCCGCTGCCCCCTCGACTCTGCAGGACGGTGACATCAACTCCTCCACGGCCTCCAAAAACTGTGATGCCCCCATCCTCACCTGTGGCCGCAGTTCCACCCTCACCGCCCACCACCAGGAGGGCCGCTCCTCACTCTCCTCCCACTGCCAGGACACCCACACAAATTTCTACGCATGTCAGCAGGAGAGCCATGCCTCTTTCCCCTCAGCTCAACAGGAAAACCATGCCTCTCTCCCCTCACCTCAGCAAGAAAGCCATGTCCCTTTCCCCTCAGCTCAACAAGAAAACCATGCCTCTTTCCCCACGCATCAGCAAGAAAGCCATGCCTCATTCCCCTCTCATCAACAAGAAAACCATGCCTCAGTCTCCTCTCATCAGCAGGAGAGTGACACCGCGCATCAGGGAGGCTATGTCCCCTTCCCCTCGCATGTCGAGACGGAGGGAGCCAGCAATTCACCAGCCAAGGTGTTCAGCTTCACCTTCAGCGCCAACCAAAAGACCCGACCAGAGACCAGCTTCACAGACCTCGAAGAGGACTCACTAATCCGCCAGAAGACACAGAAGGAGGCCGAGAACACCAGGAGGACCGAGGGCATGAAAACATTTACCATTATCACAAATCCAAATGATGTTTGCAAGCACAGTACTCCAGGTGAGAGAGAGAGCTTAAATGGCCACTCTCATACACTTGTGTCATCTCCCGTGCAATTAAACAAATTCAAGTCAAATAAAATTAGTTCTGAGAGTGATAAGTCAAATGAGCATCCATCCAAAACAAACAGTTATCCAGTAAGACCTTTAAGAATGAAGTTGGTAACCCAGAACCTGGGCAGCGGAGGAGAGCGAAGGAAGACAGAGGAAACGAGCAGTGAATGCAACTCGAAACACAGAGTTCATCAAGTAACAGTGGAGCTCATGAACGAAGATGATCAAAGGCAATTATCTTTAAAGAAGAGAGAAGAGGAGAAGAAAAGAAGCAGCTTATTAGAGTGGGAGACGTTACAAAGACAAAGACTTGAAGATGAAGAGAAAAATCGCATTAACAAAAATCTGTCGATGAAGCCTGTCTCAACGAAGATCAAGGAGCTTGTGAAAATGCACGGAAGCTTCATGTCTATGTTTAGCAAGGAAAAGAAGACAGATATTAATGGTACAGTTGATGGCAAGGATGACATTGTTTTCCGAAAAGTGCCTTTAGAAACTCCACATGTGGAACCAAAGAATGAGTTTATAAAGAATATTCCTGTTCCCATGAAGTCTCCGTACATTGTCAAGAAACTTCTCTCGCCCTCCAAAAATGCAAGCTCCTATGTGGAGTCTCATCACACGAGCCGTCGAGATTTGTCCAAGTCTCACTCACCAACCCGTAGGGCCAGCCCTGCCTCCAGGAGAGAGACTTCAAAACCTCGCTCATCAGAGGACAAAAGGGAGCACACCTCTCACAGGATCCTTACAGAAAGCAACTGGAAAACAAACAGGGCAACGTGCAGCTCCAGCTCCTCCAGCCCTCGGAAACCTCGGTCATCCAACTCTCCATCAAGGCGAGGAAGGAACTCACATATACCTACATCATCAGATAAATCAGGTGTCAAAGAAAAAGATGCACAGTCAAAACATGGTGAGATTCATTTAACAGGGTCTGGAGTGTCTGAGGTGATGGCTTGTACAAGAGATGTGAATGAGTCTTCCAGATCTTCAAAGAGATCCTCTCCTCCAGTTCCACCAAAACCATTAAACCTTCATGAAAAATTTCAAGCATTACCATTGCCTTATTTAGATAGAAAAAAGGAATCAGTTGACCTCGAAAAAGATAAAGGAAAGAATAGTCAAATACCTTTACATTATGAAATATGTACTAGTGAAGGCAGGTCAAGTATCAAGGATCCCAAGAACAGAAAAGAGTGGCTGAATAAAATGCTCAATTCGTTAACTTTGGATCACACACAGCCCTTCGACATGGTGGGTTCAACTGAAAGTGGAACACATCCTTCTAGCCCATTAAAATTATGCTCAAGTACAAACATTCATTGTGAAAGTCTACATCCTGATGGGATTGGTGAGAAGTCACAGGATTTTCCTGTTCCTCCTGCTAGGAAGTCAACGCCATCCTCTAGGATTGCTGCTGAAGCTCTTTACTCACCTTTGTCCAAATATTCACCTTATAGTAACAACTTGTCATCCAAACTTTCATCAGCCGACCCATCAGTAACACAAACAAAACCAACTGTACCACCCAGGATTTCATCACCATCCCTTACAAAGTCATTTGCTGACCACTTGGACATATCCTGCTGCTCGAAGGCCAATATATCCTATTCTTCTTCACCAACATCACTGAGGTCTTCAGTCAGAGAAGCCCTCCAGTCTGACCAGTCACAGTTAGTCAATGGTAGACGAGGACCAGTTAGTCTTTCATCAATTTTGGGTGACGGGTCCTCCAGGTCGTCCTCAATAACTTCCACACCTTTGGCATCTCCAAGGGCGACTCCAGAGAGGGTAATTAAAAGAGATTCTATTGATTTGGGAACAAAGCTTGATGTAATCCTTGAGTCTAGCTTCAGGGACGGAAGAAGGGTAACCATACCTGGTGAAGAACAGAAAGAAAACATTGCTCCCTCTCCCAGTACAAACAGAATAAGGAATACAAAGAAAAAAAATTTGAGGAGGGTGAGGATATCTTGAGTCCTCCTTCACCCTCTCCATATAGATCCTCATTTAGAGTAAGAGAAAGAAGTGAAGAGAGAAGGAAAGGAGTTAGAAACAATGATGAAGAAGTGGGCCTTCAGAAAGAGACAAGGAGCTTGTGGCAGACATCAGTACACAAACCCTTCAGCTTCACTAAACCTTCTGTGACGCTGAAGACAATGACTTCTGATGTTGACCCACAAGGGTTGCCACTAGTAAAGCTTCACCCTCGCACAGGGAAGACCTGACTACGTGCAATCATTTCTACCTGTATGATAACAGAAGATATAACCAGGATAAAAATGAACCTGCTGTAGAAAAGTCAGAATGTAGAGTAAGCACAGAGCCTTTCACATCACGATATTCTCACGAGAGAATTTCACCGGGGACGAAAGTCCCTGAATCTTCATCCCTAGTTTCCAAAGGTGGCGGTTCTTTGGGTACGAGTGAAGGGAGAAGATTATCTCTAGTGTATGAATCTTACCTGTCAAGGAATAGCAAGGAGACATCATCACTGAGGTCAAGGGGGCATCAGAGAGGTCAACACCTGACAGAGACTCTAAGCCTGTCTCTCTGTCCAGCATCTTGTCCAGAGATGTAGGCTCTGATGACTCCATACCTTGTGAACACACTGGCAGCTTTCAGTTCAAGCCAGATATCTCCTTTTCTGAAGAATTAAATGATATAAATCAGAGATATTGTAAAACATGGCTATACAACGCTCATCATCAAAGACGACAGTTGAGAACACATCTGGAAGCAAACTACCCCTGTCCTCTTGCTATGACAGTGACGATGTATTTATCAATTACTCCACAATGGGTAAAGGAGACAAAACAAGAGATCAAGCCTAGAACCAGAGTTTAGAGAGTCCCTACCTGCTCAAAAACTTAGGAGAGGAAATAATACCAGAAATAAAGAAAGGTCACCAGGAAGAATTTCAAAGGAAGTATCTTCAAACTCCTCTGGGCCAAAGAGACCTCCAAAGACTTCGACAAGTCCCAGCAAATCGAGAAACAGTGTTGTCCGTAGGAACTCTAGTCTGAAAAGGAATCGTCCTGAGAACGTGGGAGGGTCTTTGAAAATCAAGAAGGACAGAAAAAGCTCAGAGGATGATCCAGCAGACCTGAGAGACGAAACTATAGTGCAGAACGATGGTGGCTGGACCAAAACAAAGACCACAGTCAGAAGAGCCCGACTAGGGTCCACAGAAAAGGTGAGTCTGACTGAAGTTTAGAGAGGATGTCTTATTTTGAATACTGTACTTCTCAGGAAGGGGAGGACAAATTCAATTTTCTGCTGTTCCCTTCATCAGCAACACACTTGAGGGGAACAACAGAGAAATATAATGTTAACTAAGCCCTTTACTTGATGTGCTAATAGGGTTGAACAGGTGGCTGGTGATGGCACTTGTGATGGATTGTAAAAATAATGGACAAGTCTACAAGTCTACTTTATCCATATTTCCAAAGTCTGTTAAACTGAGGTACATTAAATCGAGATCTGTTAAATTGAGGTCCATTAAATCAAGGTTCACTAAATAAAGGGTTAACTGATAAACAATAAAAGCCACAATACCATGTCTGGATCAAGTCACAATTAACCCATAAACTATCTGGACATAATAATGATCCAAGATGGACTGTAACAGCATCTAAAGTTGTACCTCAAAGTTGTGAATTGAACATCTGTGTTCATCTTATATCAAGAAAACTAATGTAGGTATCAGTGTATTTATTGACAAATGCTGAGTGGCATCATGCTATTTGCTCACTGAAAACAGAAACATTTACAGCTGCCATTGTTTTCCTCTGGTCTTGCAGGCACGGCAGATAGTTCGAACCAACAGTGGCAAGACAAAGAAGGAGAAAATGTTTAAAGCAATGCATCAAAAGCACTGGAAGACTGGGCTGCTGGCGCCACAGTACATGGAAAACTCATGAAAAAGGTAATTATTATTATTACAGGTGGGCCCCGCTGCACAGCACTTCACTTTATAGCATTTTGCTAAACTGTACAGCGGTTTTCAGTTATACCCAGTCTTCATTTATTCAGGCTTCCTACAGTAAATATATTCGCCACTCACTATAAGCTAAGAACAAAAATATTTTAAGGTAAGTAATGTGTGTATTCTATATGCATTGTTTTAGGCCTAGCTCTATTGCTCACTTAATATGATAGTGTAAACATGTTATCAGCTTTTATATGAATTTGAAAGTGAGAAAAGGCTATGTTTCACTTTACAGCAGTAGCCCAGAACCTAACCTGCTGTATAAGTGGGGCCCTTCCTAACATCTGTGACATACTACTATATAGAAAGCCACTTGTTATGCAGAGCATTTTGGGCAAATTAGGTAAATTTTGTCCCAGGATGTGACCCACATCAGTCAACTAACACCCAGGTACCTATTTTACTGCTAGGTGAACGTGGACAACAGGTGTCTAAAGGAAACACATCCTAATGTTTCCACCTGTACCGGGGATTGGCCTCGGACTTCAGTGTGTGAGCCGAGTGCCCTGCCAAACAATTTAAACAATTTTAATTGTTAAATAACAAACAATGGCAAACATTTTTAGGATTTATTAAATGAATACTGAAACTGTATTTACTCTACTAGACCATGCCAGCAAAGGTGCTTCCTGTGATCATATTTGCTTGGACCTCCTCTTTTCTACAACATTGCAAGTTCCTGATAATGTGTTTATTGCAACACTAAAAGCCTAAAACTATCATTCAACTTCCTCCATGGTTGTTTTACGTCTTGTATCGCTTGTTCGCAGTTTTTGCATAATAACCTCAATTATATTTGTTACACAAACAGAAAACTATTTCTTTGCAGTATACAAAATATAGTTTACATGTAATAAAATATTGTTAAACACAAAAGAAAGCCACTAACATGCTGAGCATTTCCAGCCTTCCTTTCATAATGATCTATTACAGAATATTTCCACAAAATACTGCAATTTTATTCCAGTTCTTGCTGCCTTGTATTGCCTCTCATGTTTCCATTAATGCAATTCAGAAGAATATAAGGACAGTCTTGTTTCCGAACTTGTGTTCACCATTTTGTTGCTATTCGTGTTGTCTGCAAACTTCTTTATAGCTTATCTTTTTTCTGACAGTATTTTTTTTCAACACACTGGCTATCTCCCACCAAGGCAAGATGACCCAAAAAAGAAACTTTCACCATTATTTACACTATCACTGTCTTGCCAGAGGTGTGCAGATACATATACAGTGGACCCCCGCCCTACAATGGCTTAGCATTACGTTAAATCCGCCATACGATACATTTTAACGCAAAAATTTTGCCTCGCCTCACGATAAAAAACTCACCTTATGTGATTTGTCCGGGACACGTCCCATGTGTGGCCTCAGCGCCAGTGCTTACAAGCCAGCCAGTGCGGTCGCATCTACGCATACATTCGGTACATTTCACATTATCCCAGTGTTTTTAGTGCTTGTAACTGCAAAATAAGTCACCATGGACCCCAAGAAAGCTTCTAGTGCCATCCCTGTGGTAAAAAGGGCGAGAATTAGTATGGAATTGAAAAAAGAGATTAAGGAAATGTGTGCAAAGTAGGTTGAACTGCAAACCTTAACGGATGAAAGTCACCCTGACACAGCTATTGCAAGCCGTGCTGGTGACTATTAAAATGACAATGTTGTTAACCACTTTAGACAAATCATAAAGGAACGAGAGGTACAGAGCTCTATGGACAGATATGTTGTGCGACAGAGGTCCAGCGACTCTCAAGCTGGTCCTAGTGGCATTAAAAGAAGAAGGGAAGTAACCCCGGAAAAGGACTTGATACCTCAAGTCCTAATGGAAGGGGATTCCCCTTCTAAATAATAACTTCCACTCTCCCCTCCTCCCATCCCATCAGTCATCACCAGATCTTCAATAAAGGTAAGTGTCATGTATTCTATTCTTAGTAGAGAATTAACTCTGCATGTCTTCTTTAGTTTGTGTGTATAAAATTAATATTTCATGTGGTAAATTTTTTTTTTTTCATACTTTGGGGTGTCAGGAACGGATTAATTTGATTTTCATTATTTCTTATGGGGAAAATTAATTCGCCTTACGATAATTTCGGCATACGATGAGCTCTCAGGAACAGATTAATATCATAAGGCAAGGGTCCACTGTATATGTATGCACAATCATCTGAGTTTTCTTCTATTTTTTCTTAATAGTTCTTGTTCTTGTTATTATTTCCTTTCATCTCCATGGGAAATGGAATAAGAATCTTTCATCCACAAGCCATGCGTGTCGTAAAAGCTGACCAAAATGCTAGAAGCAATGGACTAGTAACCCCTTCTCCTTTATAGATTTACTAAAAGTAAGATATAATACTAATTTATAATGTGGAAAAGGGCCTAGTCCAAGCTTGCCTAATAGGCATAGGTCCTAGGGAAGCAGTCCTGCTTCCTTCCCCTGGCTACATCTACTGTGTATTGGAAGGTACTTTTACACCCTGGCCATCCCACTGAGACAATGGGTGACCTGAAAAAGAAAAATGAAAAGTTTAAAGAACTTTTTTGTTTTTTAAAGAAAAACGAAAGTTTCTCTTTTTAAATTTAGTAATTTATACAGGAGAAAGGGTTACTAGCCCCTTGATGACGGCATTTTAGTCACCTCTTATGATACGCATGGCTTACAGAGGATGGATTTTTCTCCACTTCCTTATGGAGTAAGGTACTCTTGAATGTGTAATTTTCCTGCATTTAGATTTTTTGGTCTGGGTTTCAGGAAGGTCAGAAGTTCAGCCATGAGACTGAAGAGGTGGTGAAGGGAGGCCAGCGGACCAGCAAGAGTGTGGTGAGGAGAGTGGTGAGGCGGGGATCCAGGAGGCTCTCTGGTGGTGGAGAACTGATGACGGAAACCAAGGAAACTTCTTCCACAGGTGAGTGCTGGTGGTGACAGATCCAGGAAGCTCTGGTGGAGAAGAAAGCCTCTTCCACAGGTGAGCCCTGGTTGAAATCCAGTGGATCTGTGAGGGAGAGTAGTGGTGGATCATTATACTCAAAAGAAGGTGAAAGACTGTAATGGGAAGGACGGGGATAATTAGGTTATGATCCAAGGAAGGGAAGCTCCAATTCCTTGAATCATGAGTTCCTGAACATAAGATTACCCCCTTGAAAGAATGTGTCTGGACAATTGCAACATGAAGGGAAGTACCACTTCTCATTAGCATATACATTCTGCACAGTTGTAAAATGAAAAGAAGTACCAAGAGTTTCCTTAAGTCTATTTAGGCACAGGTACAGTTATCATTTTTTTCTCAACACAACAGTCATCTCCCACTGAGGAAGGTGACCTGAAAAAAGAAGAAACTTAAAGTTTTCTTCTTTTTACGTTTAGTAATTTATACAGGAGAAGGGGTTACTAGCCCCTTGTTCCTGGCATTTTAGTCGCCACTTATGACACACATGGCTTACAGAGGAAGGATTCTTCTCCACCTCCCCTATGGAGAGAGAATTATCATACATAGTGTAAATTACCTAGTATTTATGTATATGTTATAATATACTAAGATTAAACACTATCTTCTATTCGGTTGATAGGGATATACTTAACTTATAAAGGATAAGCAACAACTAGAATATGGCAGGAATGCAAGTACAGTGGAACTTTGGTTTTCGTGATTAATCTGTTCTAAAAAGTCTGATGAAAACCGTATCATATGAAAACTGAAGCAATATTTCCCATAAGAAATAATGTAAATCCAATTAATCCATTCCAGACACCCAAAAATATTAACAAAAAATTACATTTTATAGAGACTTATAGCTTCCCTCACTGACCTTCAGTTTATAGGATGCAGGGTGGTTTTTGGAGACATTTTATGGGGAAAAAAATAATGCATCTAATAAGCCGCAAAATACAGTAATAATGATACATCTGTGAATATTTATATTGTAAAATATGCAATAAATCTGTATGAATTATATAGCTCATCCAAGGATAGCTGCACCATGGCCAGCTGTACTACTCGAAGATATGGAGAGACTGTTGTTGGTGTGGCTTATCGAGAATACTGAGAAACAATTAACCCCAGAGGGTTAGCCACCCAAGAAAGTCAGTGTGTCATCGAGGACTGTCTAACTTATTTCCATTAGGGTCCTTAAGGGGGGGGGGGCCTCGGGCAAAAAAATGTAGCTTTTTTGTTTACCGTCCGATTTCCTCCAGTTTTGGTGCACAAAGACAAAGTGTTTTCACTCTTTCTTGAAAATATTTATCAAAAATATACCTCAAACGACAACTGAGAAAAGACTGAAAAAGGACTGATTTGCTGAAAATGCCCTTGGGGGGCGATTTATTCCTATATGGGACTACGTAGGTTGTTTGGACACTTGGTGCCGAGAGAGCAATGCTTTTACGAATTTTCCTCAACGCCTTTCCTCTAAATAACTTATCTTTATTTCACAAAAAAATAAAGTTTGTTAGTTCCTGGAATGTTGCAAAAAATCTGCCCTTTACTCCCACATAACTCCGAAAGTATTTGGAATATTTCCAAAAATAGCTTGTAGAAAAATAGAGAAATCATTATTCTACAATTTCTGTGAATATTATTCCATTTAATTAAGTAATAAAGGCAGAAATAGGTACCTTAGGTGAATAAGTTACTTCCGAGATATTGGCCGGGAGCGCCGGCCGGCCCACCATCTCAAAAAAAAAAAAAAAAATTCGCAAAAATCGCGTTTGTTTGGGTGTATTTCTTAGTAAACTGATGTTCTAGTGCAGTTATCCTCTTCAAAACACCGTTTTCTCTTACTCAGAGACCAAAGAATACGACATGGAGAGCAGTAACTCATTTATATCGAAATATTCCCGATAATCTCTCGCCATATTATGGCCTATTTTTTTCAGTCTATAGTATATAACATGTTTGTATGTTATTTAGAGTGTTTATTATATCATATTAGATCAATTCTGGTAGATAAATAAGCCGTAGAGTTGATATATAAGCTGATATAGCGTAATAATGAAGTGATTTCTCCTGGCTCTCTCTGGAGCGGGAACACTGCCGAGCGTTCCCAGATGGTTCCTGGTTGTCTCTAAGTCTAGGGATAATCTCCGCCTACTGTTTTATGATGCCAAATAGTCACTTATTATATTAGAAAGAATAATGCAAGAAAAAGTGATAAAAAACAAGGAAAAATTTCCAAAATATATATGGGCTGTGAGCAGACTCGCTACCAATATCACCGTCACCTTACCTCATATAAATGACTATAATTTCTTGTAGAAATGTCGTAGAACATTCATTCTGGTACCGTTGTGTTGCCAAAGAGTTAAGCTATTTTTCGGTATATGTAACTCAACTTCCATAATTTTTCAATTTTTGGTTGAGCGTGCGTGGAAATTGCCCGAGGGCCCCCTTTGTCCCCCAGGATGCGACCCACACCAGTTGACTAACACCCAGGTGAACAGGAAAAAATGTTGTGTTGTGTTGTGTTGACAAACATTAGTAAACCACCACTTAAATACAACAAAGTCTCATTTAGACTCCATGATGAGGCCTCAATAAGGAAGTTCACAGCTGACCTAGAGACTGTTGACTGGCCTACAGAATTCTCCAAGGCCAATGGTATTGATGACTGGACAGACATTTTTCTTAACAAATTACTTAGACTATACAACAAACATTGTCCTATAAAAACGAAACAGATCACAAACAAACGGCTTGGTTGCCCATGGCTAACCAGCACCATTCTGAAATCCATTGATAAGAAACACCAATATGAAAAGCAATATAGACAGGGCTTAATACACAAGATATTCTTAAACACTATTCATCAGTCCTCACCAAAGTTAATAAAGAAAGCCAAACAACTATACTACTCAGTAGATTCACTGACACAGAGGAGATATAAAAAAGACCTGGAAAACACTCTCTCAGATTCTAGGGACCCACAAACTGAAAAAAAACAAGAATATTGTCCTAACTAAACCTAATGAAAACACCACTGCAACCCACTGACACAGCTAACAAGATAAACGACTTCTTCTCAACCATAGGGTTAATCTCGCCAATAAAATCCACGTACCAATGCCCATGCCGGGGACTACCTAGATGGGAATTTCCCAGATTCCTTCTATCTTGCTCCAACTTGAGCCCACGGAAGTCACTGAGATTATAAAGTCACTTAAAAATAACTCGGGGAATCTGTCTCATGTCCACCATTATTGTACAAGAGAGTGGCCCATGTCCTCTCGCATATTATTCATTACTTTTTAACAAGTCACTAGGAAACTAGCACCTTCCCGAAATTACTCAAGACGGCAAGGGTTACACCAATACATAAAGGTGGTGGCCCTACAGATTTAAACAACTAAAGGCCAATATCAAACTTACCATTGCTATCCAAAATCTTTGAGAAACTCGTGCACAGGAGACTGTATTCATTTATAAACGTCACAAAAACATACTCAACCCCTGCCAATTTGGATTCAGGAAAAATAAAAGCACTACGATGCAATCATAAAAATGCTAGATCTGCTTTACACAGCATTGGAAAATAAGGAATACCCACTAGGAATTTTTATTGACCTAAGAAAAGCTTTTGACACAGTAGACCACGGCATCCTACTCCACAAACTTGACCATTATGGTATAAGAGGCCATGCACTTGCATATTTCAAAATCTTACCTTACTAATAGTATCAGTATGTCACCATTAAAGACACAGCATCACAACACAGCCACTTGATACTGGAGTTCCGCAGGGAAGTGTCCTTGGTCCCTGCTCTTCCTCATATACATCAATGATCTTCCAAACATATCTCGACAACCTGAACCCCATTCTCTTTTGCTGACGACATGACTTATGTCATCTCTCACCCTAATCTTGCCACCCTCAACACCATTGTTAATGAGGAGCTGATCAAAATATCGACTGGATGACAGCCAATAAACTTACGCTTAACGTTGACAAAACCTACTACATTAAGTTTGGTAGCAGAGCAGGAGATGTGCAAATTAACATTAAGATCGACAACACTCTAATTGCCAGGCATAATGAGGAAATTCCTAGGCCTATACCTCGACAACAACCTGAACTTCAGCACCCATATCCAACACATAACCAAAAAGTATACAAAACGGTTGGGATCCTCTCCAAGATACGATACTACGTGCCCGCAAAACTGCCCTTCTCACACTATACCATTCACTTATATATCCCATACCTCACCTATGCTACCTGTGCTTGGGGTTCAACTGCAGCAACACACCTAAAGCCAATAATAGCCCAACAAAAAAGCCGCAGTAAGAATAATCACTAAATCCCATCCCTGGCAACACACCCCCCACATCTTCATAGATCTAAACTTACTCCCTGTTCAGTACATCCACACTTACTACTGTGTAATCTACATCTACAGGACCTTAAATTCCAATATTAACTTGACCTAAAACGCTTTCTTGATAGTTGTGACAGAACCCACAGGCACAACACAGACACAAACATCTCTATGACTATTCCCGTGTCCGACTAAACCTTTACAAAAATTCAATGTATGTCAAAGGCCCTAAAATCTGGAACACCCTACCTGAAAATTCCAAAACTGCAGACACATTCATCACCTTCAAAACTACCATCAGAAAACATCTTATCTCCCTGATACACCCTGTCAACTAATAATACGAATACCACCTGGTGGTTCACACTTACACTCACTCACCCATTTAACCATAAACAGAAATATCAATCTCAATCTCAAAATAATGAATCTTAACTAGTCATAAGTTGGCCTGTGATACTCCAATACTGAAACTATGTTAGTGCAAAACAAAAGCATTCACATTGCTAAACTCACAAACTAGTATTTAGTCACTTAGCCATAATACCAACTTACCTCATAATTTTGTAATATTTTAAACTTAAGATTTAATATAAG